ATGACAAATGTAATAGTACATAATTTGTTAATATTGTGAATTATTGATTTTGGATTGTGTTGTACTGTGTTTAATACGTAAATTATTCAGTTCCTTTTTAATTCTAATATTAATATGTTACTAGTAACCACTGCCTTAGCAACCAAAACTAATTTCTCTACTGGTGTCTATCTGCCTCTTAAGATAATTATCTTAAATCCCATTCCTTTTCAGATTAAAGGGTAACTTATGTTTGGACCTACAATAGAATTCCTTTATTCTATTATAATATATATAACTAGTATATTATATTTCCCTTCAGAGTGTCCTGTCTCTCTCTGGTGAAGAATAATTATTTAATTGGATAAAGTGTTTTTAATAAGTCAATAATAAAATACCCAGAGGGTCAGATTTGTAGAAGACGATTTTTTATTTGTTTAATTGACGATACATCTAAAATTTTCAAAAATAAACATCTACAAATGTCCATTTACAATAACAATAAAACTTTTATAATTGTTATCAAACACCTTTATTAATTTTGAATCAATAGATATTTCATTGCTATTAGATGATTATGACTTAAAAAATTTATTGTATGAAAAATTAATACCAGGATTTGTAAACAAACATTTGGTAAAAAAGTGGTGGTAAAAGGCTTGATTTAAACATAATTGAAATTTAGATTAATCAACATCATAAAAAACAAGCAGTAAGAATGCTAATATGAATAATTAATGTAAAAATAATATTAATATTAATTTCACATTTATCCCTTAAACAGTCAAAGTATTCTTTAGTAGTAATACAAAATAATTTTTTGATCATGACCTTGCATTCTTATTGACCAATTTAACAATCTGCAAAGTAAAAATAGTCAATCGACCAACTTTTAATGAAGATTTTACAAAAACCACAAGGACAACAACCAAATTTTTATTCACAGATCAATCAGCTTAATCTCAAAGATCATTTTTGTATTAGGAAGTAATACCTTCAGAAAAAGTTTTTTATAACAGAAAAAAAATTTCAGCTATCAATAGCTGAAAAACTGTTTAAGGGATAATGTTTTTAAAATAAATTTAATTGATAAATCCATGATTTTTAAGTTCATTAAACTTTTACCTCTAAGAATATTTATAGAGTCCACTCACACTCTAATAATAACAGATCCTCTGTAACATACTGAGAATTTAATATCAATATTGATATTAATATTAAGCCTGACCCATATGTCCAATATTAATATATATAAAGTATTATTGTTGATAATGGATTATCTATGATAAACATTTTTCCCTAGTTATAATATTAACACTAATACTAATACTAAGTCAAATGGTCTGTTATAGAGTGAACTGTATATAGAAGAAAAAGAATTTTTTATTATTGTAAATGCAATTAAGATTCAATAATAATAAAACTATTACTATAGTGGCAATCATCTAAAGACATCATCAAATGTTGCCAATCTTTAAGTGCTGATACTTTATTAAATATGGGCTATTTTACCAAAAACTCTCTATTTTTGCAATATTCTAAACATGAAAAATAATGTAATAGAATGTTTTTTTAGAGTTATTTAATTAAAAAAAAGTTATAATGGTTTAAAGTTGGGTAACTTTGCTATTTTATTTGAAATTTCGCCAACTATATATCTAAACTGCAATTTACAGATATTTACCATCACAGATCTTTTACAAATTTGGATTTATTTTTATATATTGGATTCTTTATAAAGCAATATCAGCATAAAAATTTTCGGCAAGTGGCGCAGCACGTGATGTCTTTAGATGATTCGCACCATATTACTATTTTCCCTTGTTAAAAACGAACGTTACACATAAGAAACAAAATTTTCTATATAAAAATTTCCAACAATCCACAAGTGCTAAAGAGTAAGCTTTTTTCTTTGCCTAAGTAAAGGTAAAATAAAATATATTAATATGTTTTCAGAGTTATGTTTTATCTGCATGCTAAAAAAAAATTTATGTAGTGGAACAAAAGTATAGTACAATTTTTCATGCAAAGGTACTCAATTGATCATTTTTGTGTCAATTTTTCCTCCACTGATCACTCCGATTTAGGGATGGGTCGGTTTCTCTAATAAACGGTTTGAACAGCATAGTGGACATTCGTTTTATCACATGTGACAAAATCGATCGTTGATCTTTTTTATGTTGTGAAACATGTGACTTCAATTGATGATATGTTAAATTTAGTATGAGAGACATGAATTAAATATGAAAACTTTAGTCTGTTAGTAGGAAATATCAAAGCACATATATAGTGCAGCAAGAAAAGAAGTTGTATTCATTTATTTTCAGTTTGAAAAAAGAAATTAATTAAAACTAGATGGAATTCATGGTCTAAGCCTACAATTTGGATAAATAGATTTTCCAGAAAGAAAAAGAATTAAATGGTGATAGTAAAGCTACTTGCCAATTGGTTTCTATACTTCAAGGTCAATCAAAATTCTTTACATTTAAAGTTTTGATAATCAAATTATTAATGATTTAGAGTTTTTCAAAATCCAAAATCTACCAGTTGCTCTGTTTGTATCAAATAGATTAGAACAATTATAATCTTTTTTATTATATAGTTCTCACTAGTCAGGAAATTCACAATCTTTTTTCTTCAATGTAATATACCCTTCTTGTATTAATATTTCAAAGAAGCATTTACATTGGCATATCAAAAATTCAAACATACGCTTTACCTCTTTTTAAAGCTTTGATACTCAGTATATTTACTCGCAACAATCATGAAGTTGTATAAAAATATTCTGAACTTGCAAATCCAAATGATACATTATTACATGAATGGACATTTATTCTGGAAGTTTTGAAGATGATTCAGATCTAGATTTGTTTTGGAAAGAGTTATTAAAAGCTTTATCATTTATCAAAGATGGTCTTAGATTACATATAGTTGCTAATTTCAGGAGTTGATGTGGAAAGAAGTTTTTTCATTTATAAAAATATTTTGGTTGATAAATGTCATGCATGCACTTTCAAAAGATTCAATCGTTGCATTAAATTTTTTATGTTTTAATGTAAATAAATAAATTAGATATTTTTGCATAATTCATGCAATAATTTAAGTTTTGCGCTCTTCTCCTTAATAAAATTAATCACATCTACCATCCTTTGGACCATCTTTCCATCTCTCATCAATTTTACTACAATCAAATAATGTCTTGCCTAATCTATCATTAACAATATTATGCATATCACATAACCACCCTCCTAATGCCCATTTACTTTCGACTTTTGGTGGATACTTTTTCATCTCATCCCTTAAATGTTCTGCACAATACCAACATGGATAGAATTCGGAAAATGTTGTCAGGAAAGAGTTCATTGATTTTTGTTGTGAATATGATGGTACTTCTGGATAATAAGCTGCCATTGTATGTAAAAGTGTCCATGTTGACCTGCCCAATTCTTCTGAATCTGGTGGACAATCTTTTGGTAAACCATTCAATAATGATGGCGAAAATGATGAAGGTGATGATGATGATGATGATGATGATGATGATGATGATGATGATGATGATGATGATGATGATGATGATGATGATAATGATGATTTCTCATCATTTTGGTGTTGCTTTTGTTTCTTTTTTTCCTGCTTAGTCCAATTCTTGAATTTTGTACATACTCTACATGGCTTGCCGTCTTTATCCAATATTATTCCATCTTTGCTTTTATTATTATTATTATTATTATTATTATTATTGCTGTTGTTATTATTATTTTTAATATAATTATTGTTGTTTGTGGCTTCCAGTTCTGTTATATCTTGATGTTGCAACGGAAGTAATTCTGTCATTTTTAAAAAGAAAAAAAATATATATAAATGTGTTACAAAATAATTTTTTTCATGTGAAATATGTGAGTGTAAGAGTAAAATGAAACCTTGCACAAACGCAATTTTTATTTATTTCAATTTTTTTTTTCCACAAAACACATTCTTTGTTATTAATATCAAAAAACATGACAGAAATAAGTTTAAAAGTGACAACTTTGGATGCTCTTTGAAATTCTAAAAACACTGTGTTTAGTATGTTCCTGGAACCAATTTATAAAGCACTTCACATACCACAAGACTTGACTTATGGGAGGTCTGCATTACCATATTCTCCTTATGAGCAAACGCTTCATTTACCGCCATACATCCATACTCATCACGAAATCCCATTTTCCTCTTCCACTTCACCAATATTAAGCAACCTAAAAGAGCATTTCATATATTACCAAACATGGCAACTACCAATCACCATTACAAAACAACAACGAAATGTTGACATACTCTTTGTCCATGGTCTGAATGATTATGGAGGTAGATTTTCTGAATTTAGTAAACCAATCTTGGAAAAAGGATTTCGAGTGATATCAATTGATTTGCCAAGTTTTGGAAGGTCAAGTGGACTACATTCATATATAGAAAGTTGGCAATCATTGGTTGAGGCAATTTATTTGGTTATCAATCATGTTCAAGGACAAAACTTGACAGAGAATGTTGATGAGGAGGAAGAAGTAGTAGAATTGAGAAAAAATCGTAAAATTATTTTGGTAGGTGGGTCGCTTGGCGGAATGGCTATTTTATGTTATGCTATAAGATATCCAGAAACATTTGATTCGTTTGTGATAATGGCTCCTTTAATTCATGTGCATGGTCAAAGTAGGCCTAGTAAATTACTTGAATATTTGGCAAAATTCCTTGTTAAAACACCTTTTGGGCGTCTGCCACTTGCTAAAGCTCACCGTGGTAAAAGTAGTAGTGATCCATTACATGATTTTGTAATTATAATATTTTATTTGTTTTTATTTGGTTTAATTTTTTTAATATTAATTGGTTAATAAATATAATACGTATATATAAATCTAATAAATAGAGATTTTTATCAGACCCGCAAACTTATCATGGAAACTTACGATGTGCAACAGGTTTGTCATTATTGGCGGGTACTGAATGGTTACAATCAAATCTTGAAGAGATACGTAAACCATTTTTAACATTACATGGAACAAATGATCGCGTTTGTCATATGAGAGGATCAAAAGAATTGATTTCACGATCTCAAACTCCTGAAGATCAAAAATTCATAATCTTGTATGATTATTGTGAACATGATATGTTGCGAGATCATGGTAGCGGTAAGAAAGTTTTGGGAGATATGATTGATTGGTTTGTAAAAAGAGATGTTGGTTTGGTTAATTAGATTAAGATAATTTTATAACTGGAGAGAGGTATATTTTTTTTTTGAAAATTGAAAAATTTGAAATATATATTTTTGTATATTAAATTACATACACATAGATGTAATCACACATAGAAAATTTGTACAATTATTATGTATGATATAGAGACATTTTTATTTATTAAATTTGTTATAAGAATTTGTAAAAGTAGAAAATTAGCATTAAAAAAAAGATCAGCTTTTGAAGGAAATTATCTATGATCCAACTAATATGACTCTGGAAATTACATAAATAGATTATCCTTTTTCTGTATATCTTATAATTCACCAGCATAATATTTATTACTTATTTACCTTATTAATTCGATTGGAAAATATTTAGAATGCCATCACCAATATGCAGCCTTCCTAGCAAAATAAAATCTTCCACCATTTTAAGGTGTAATATAAATAGCATATATGGGACGTAACAAGCAGAAAGGGACCCATTGGTATTTTGAGTTGATTATTTGCCTTTAAGAACATTGTTAGCTTAGAAATCGTCCACTTGATAAAATCTTGTGGTATCAAATGTAGAACATTGACTATGGCAACCAGTTTTAATATGACACTTTATATTTGATGACTCAAGGTCTTGCATCTATTTCAATGTGAAAACACCAGATCACTAAGTGATGACAGTGGTTGGTGGAGCAGGTGAAAGTTTGAGTGCAAGGCTGGATGTTTATAATTTGGTGTTAAAAATTGGCCACACAATCTGGTGTTTGACCGGCATCCATTTTTCATTTGGGTAAAATGACATTTTGAAGCAGGTTGACAATCCTAAAGATGTAAAATTTAGAAATTCCAGAAGCTGATACAAAAGTAAATTGTCGTTAGTTCATGGAAGAAGACTTTTCAACTGTAAGTTTGTGGAATGGAACATTGATTGATAGAAGGAGGAGGAGGAGGAGGATAATTAATTAATTAATTTTTTATTTATTTATTTATTTGATCTAAAATTTTATTCTATTTTATTACAACTGTTGATATGTATCATTCTTTTCTGATGTATATATAACGGTTACTGTGTGTAGTTGGTGACCAATTGAAGTCAACCCCAAGTGATGAAGCGGTTCTTTAAGCCCAAGAAAAACGTAACATAAGTATTATTTTGATAGAGAATAATGGAATAATTAATTAATATTAATTTAATAGTGTTTTACCTAATCCATCGTAAGCGTCTTTTTGATTGATTATCACATTGTCCAAAATCTTGTGACATGTTGAATATCAATATTTAATAATTGTTTCAATTACCATGTACGGTAAATAATACAAATTCAAACGATTACATTAGGCTCGACATTTTACTTTTATGCAGTGATATTATAGATATTATACCATTCTTGAATTGATTACATTGGAATCCGAATTTTTTAAAATGACATTTTCATTAATGTACACAAGCAAATTACCAAATTTTGAATTGATTGCATTAGCTCATTAATAATAATATGTATGCAAATTATTTCCAAGATGTTTTTCTTAAAATTAAAAAAAAGAAAAAAAAATTAGTATAAATATGTTTGAAAATTTTATGGATTTTTTCTCTTTCGTCTTTACTTTCATTCAAATAATCAATTTACAAATAAATAATTTAACAACAAATCAATTTTACAAATAAATCATTTAACAAACAACCAAAATGCCTAAAGTCAAATCAGAAAAATCTTTAAATATTAAAACCGAACTTGCTACATTTTCGAATCTTCAAAAAATTACCAGCAACAATATTATCACCATGACCCCTACTATCTCTACCCCTGCCAATTTTAACAATAACTTTGATGATGTTTTTAATCCGATGAATTCAGACTTCGCCATTAACGATTTCACCTCAACCAACTTCACATTGATTAATAATATGTCCAACACTAATAATACAGTTAACTACAATGACGTTGGTAGTAAAAATGAAATTATTTCATCAATTTTTTCTCCAACTCAAAATAATTTCGATGATGTCGATCTCAGCGATAATAATAGTAATAATAACAATAATAATAATTCGTTATCTTTACCATTTTCCTTTTGTTCCTCTTCTCCTATCCATTCCTCCTCCTCTTTTTCCATGTTATCATTTGTTTGTAAGGATATGGATCTTAGTGATGAAGAAGTTAAGCTTCTTCAAAATCCACCATATGAATTAACATTGTCATTCGAAGAATTGATCTCGCCAGCTGACAATACCAACAAACCATCTCGCAAACCGAAAAAAAATCGGCCATCCAATAGCGCGGAAGTTGCATCAACAACCACCATCGTTGTTGATATTAAAATTCCGAGACCACAAAATGCATGGGTTCTATTTCGTAAAGATTATGAAGCAAAACAGCGATTACGATTTCCGGAAAAGGCTTTGAAAATGAAAAACATTTCAACAGATGCCGGGGAACATTGGAGAAATGAGTCGATGAAAGTTAAACGATTCTTTGATATTCTGTCAAAATTGGCACACGAAAAACACAAATCCATTTATCCTGCGTACAAGTACACGCCAAAAAAAAAAACAGTAAAGGATAATAATTCGGCATTAAAAGATTGGATTTTTAAAGATGTTGCTCAGCAACAACAACATAAAAATCAAAAAAAAGATGTCAACAACAACAATAATGTTAATCATACCAATACTAATAGAATTCCTCCTTTACCTTCTCCTTGCCCTCCTTCGCCATCATATTCCCCATCCTCCAATTCGTCATCCTCTACTTCCACATCTTACTTTAATAATACCAATATTAATATCAATAATATCAATTCCTCTAATTTTAATTTCAATTTCAAGTCTAATTCTGATTCTTCTAGCTTTAATTGCAATTATAATAATAACGACAATCTTCCAATTAAATACGAATATACCAATTTCTTGAACAACACCAACCCTAACCCACAACAATCAAATATCAATAGCAACAATAACACTTTGGTTTATTTAAATAATTCTTATTTTATTGATCAAACTTTACGCAACGACAACAACGACAACAACAATCTTGATATTAATCTTGTTAATAACAATACTTTTATTGCATTTCAATCACCAGCAGCAGCAGGATTTGAATTTACTGATAATAATAACAATAACATGTACTTTAATCCGCAGGAATTTATTCAACCAAAATTAGAATTAGAATTCGATATCGATGTCATTAGCAACATTAATGATATTAACAACATGGACAACATCAACATTAATGACATTAACAACATGGATAGCATTAACATTAATGACATTAACAACATGAATGACATGAATGAGTTTACTAATTATAACGAAAATAATTTCGAGAATGATTTTTATCAATTTATTAATGCTGAAAACGATTTAAACGGGGAGGAAAATCCAGAAACAACCGATACAAGAACTGAAACTGGTGGTGGTACTGGTACTACTACCGATGCTAGTGTTGGGGCTGAGCCTGAGGCTAATGGTGCGCAATCATCGGCAACATCATCTAATATCACAAATGTTAATACAATTTATAATCAACGGTATTTAATAAAGGATTTGTTTTTATTTACGATAAATAATAATGGCGTTAATGAAAATGATAATAATGGCAATAATAATGATGGTATTATTAACAACAACAACAATAGTGAAATTTGACAAATCATCAATTTTATTAATATTAGAATAACTTAAAAATTTCATATTTATTTATATTTATTTATTAATCTCTTATCTCCAATCTGCTATATCTATCATATATTATTCGTTTATTTACGAATATTTTATTTCATAAATACTGGATGAATTGATTTCGTCAATTATTTCGAAACACGTTTGTTTGCTGTATTTATTTGTTCGTATTTTTTATTGTAATTCCCAAGTACAAAATTTTAAAGATTTAATCTTTCTAATACACGTTTTCATAATATATAAATAAATAAATTGAATTAGAGTTAATTAAAGTTAGGTGTATAAAGAATACGGACAAAGAATTCCGATAATTGGTGAATATTGTTGTTGTTGTTATTATTATTTTCTTGGAATTAAATTCCTATATTAATTTATAAAAAAGGAAAACGTGAAAGGGTCTTTTAACCTTTCTTAGATCGTTCCTATCCGAAAAATAAAAATATTATATAGTACGAATTAAAAGTGTGCAGTATGTAAATTTCGTCGTGTAACAAATTTAGAAGCTACTTTGAAAATTGTTAAATGTTACATGCGCGCCTTTGCACCCTTTCAATTTTACACACAGGCCGCGTGGATGTGGAGATTTCCTATTTTAGTATTAGTATTAGGTAATAGTAATAGTAAACTTTTTATCATCTCGGGAATTAATATTACCACCCATTCAAATTATTATCGTTATCATAGTAATCTTTGAAATTTCGATTTTTATAAAATTATAAATGGTTTTACAAAATAAAGTTTAATAGATCGCCTACTAATGATTTTCTTTTATTCAAATATTAGTATTAGTTATGATAAATTACGCAGGTTTGTACAAGCGTCCAGCTGAAATGAAACGTTTGTTTTTTTTTTTTTTGTTTGTACAATCTACAGAAAAGGAAATACATTTATCATTGATTTTTTTTTTTTACTATATTGTGAGAAAAAAAATTTTTTAAATAAATTGACGACATTAATACCTAAATTTTCAAGTTTTCAAAAACGTCTAAATAAAATTTCTGAATACCTTAATATTAAAAAAATAAACGAATAAAATAATCATTAAATATTTGCTACATAGCCATGACTCTTTCAAAAAACATTATAAAACTCGTAAAACAATTAGATTTAACAGAACACGAGAAACAATTATTAGAAAATCCACCTATTGATATTAATGACACACAAATCGACCAATTTCTTTCAAAAAAACGAAAAAAGAAAAAGAAAAAAAGGCTATTAAAATTATCTCCTTCAAAGAAAGTAGTCCAACAAAAAAAATGGCCAAATAAATTCCTTAAATTCCGTAAATATCGTACAATTTATTTAAGAGAAACTTACCCTGAAAAAATTTTTAAAATGGAAGATATTTCAAAAGATGCAAAAGATGCATGGAATGCATTAAAAAAATCTGATCCTACAAGAAAAGTAGAATTCTTTGAAATTTTATCTAAACTTGACAAAAAGAACCGAGAGATGATTAGTCTCAAAGAACTCGAAGATGACGATGAAAAAAAGTTGGAGTGGAGAGAAGTCCATTTTGACAACAAAAATGATTCTAATTTCATTTATATCAACAGAGACGGCAATGACAGCAACAACAACAGCAGCAGCAATAATAATATTATTACAACATTCGATACGACAATGTATAATGCATCAAATTATCAGGACGCTCAAAATACTTATCCTTATTCAAGCCAAGAAGTTGAATTGGTGGAACCTGGACAATTATCACTCAGTCAATTATTACACTTGTTTTGTAATCAAGAGATATTCAATATGGAAGATGATGAAATGTTTAATACTGTATGGGACAATATTCAACACAAGTTCATCTCAAGTGAGCGATTGTGAAATCGATCCCGATACTTTTCTTCGTCAGTATTTTAATAATCAACACGGAAACCAACGGTTCGATTTTTTTTCTAGTTAATCTTTATTCAACGGGCTGGGAAAACTTTTATTGTCGATCTTTTTTTTGGGAAAAATTTATGTGGAATTGAAATTGGAAATCGAGTTTTATCTATTTTAATTAACAAAAAAAAATTTTTTTAATGTATTATTATTATTATATACATTGTATTTATCAATTAATTAATATATTTCTTTCTTTTAAATTTATTACCGTTACTATTATTATTATTAACTAAAATTTTGATTGCCAGTGCCAACGAAATGATTGCAAGTTACTAATAGTAAATGGTTATGGTGGCCCCAAGATACTGGCTTAGATCATATAACAGTTTTTTCAGGTTACCACAATAACATCACTTTATCAAAATTATTATCACGTGATATGTACCTATATTGGATGCGATCACCATCTTTAATGTGCAATTACTGGTGTGTTGAACTAAAAATTTTCATTGCTTATTACAATATACAAAAATTTCGATCTTAATTAATGAAATAATTCAAAATACTGCTTCGTGCATCATCCATAACAATAATAATTCAATTCATTTACACAATACCTTCCACTTTGTCATCATTGTTATCAATTATTCATTCAAATTCCTGATAATAATAATACTAGCATTCCGTATTAGCTTTTGATAGGAATGTATAAAATATTGAAATACTAATTTTTGATTCAGATTGGCAAGGCTAAAGATTTGAAATATCATGTGGTCCGATAAATTTTGAAGCTTGAGTCATGAACAATAAAACTTATCGGTCAACTTTTTTTAAAATGATATAAAAATTCTTATTTAGTATTTTTGAACCTAACCAATTGTTACTAAAAAGAGTTGTCAGAAGTTGTTGCTTCGACTCAAATGAGTAGAAATGCAGTAATATTAACACAGAAAATTGACATAATTTCATATACAGTGCGTGTTACACCAATTCATATGGAAATCAATAGGTTAAAAGCAGGATTTTTTTTGGATGCATTTTAATATCCAATGCTTTCATTATTGATTTCACTTACAGACTGACATCTTGCTTTTTGTAGTTAAGAAGGAATGGATAGAATTTACCAATGAAATAATAATCACGCTAATTTCCTAGTTTTTCAAAAAAGTTTTGGTGACAAATTATCGAATAATCGAACACAATTTAAAAACCTCAAGGTCTGGACAATTCAGCATACGTAGAAAAATGTGATCAATAATTAATGCCGCACCACCTGTTTCCTTCAATTTATTAATAGTGAAACAGATATTGAATATTGAATGCTTGTGATTCGGTGTAATTTGTTGAGCGAATGTATTCCTATCATTTTAATAATGTAATTGCAAAAAACTCAATCCTATTACACATTTAAAGGAGAATTATCCAAAAATTAATTATCAGATTCAATTAAAAAATAATTTGAATTTTATTCAAGAAGGTAAATGTGCTATACTAAACTTCCTGGTTGATAAACGATCTGCAAATTAATAAAACGCTTCCGTAGTTAGAATATAGTTTAATGGTCCGCTTGATTATCGAATTCTAAGGTTTTTAATTCGATTTTGGCCATTTACTTTAGTTTAAAGCAAGGTTTTGTTTTGAGTATTTGCTTAGTAAAAAAAAAAAATGAAGGTTTAATTTTGGTTTTTGTTAAGCGTAAACGTTTTTATTTAAGTTTTGTAAACGGGTTTAAATGTTTAAATGTAAATGTAAGGTGTTAAGACTGATCGGCAAAAGTGTTAAGCATTAACGGTTATTACTGATTGATCATCTATACAAATAGCTAACAGTCTTGACCATAGCCATTATCACATATCGTTATATTGCATTGTAATTGTTGTAAACGTATGACTGAATTCAACCGGCCAAAGAAAATAATAATAACTCTATAGGAGTCTTTGTTGTTTCAAAGAAGGGCTGTCATTATCTATTGTAATTCGTACCATAAAAATGTGCTTACAGATTCGCCGAAGCTTTCTAGCTACAAGAAAGAAGAAGTAAGCAGGATAATTCAATATAAAAACAGTTAATCGACGATTGTGGCTAAAAAGTTAACTCGAACTTAGTCTAGTCGTAAACGTAAACAATCAAGATTGATCAAAAAGCTACCGAAAAAATCGATTATAATCAATTTGTTCAATTTCGATTATCGATCGTGAAAAATCAATATATTAACATCCATAATGCAACATATAGAATGGTTTTTGCATTTTATAAATCTTTACAGCTAGTACTATATAGTCTATATAGTACTTAATGACATACATTATAATTAATGGCATAACAATTATTTATTATTATTATGTAAATTTTATCTGTTAGCATTGATATTGATATACAGTCAATACTATAAAAGAGAAAGGATAAAAGTAAAGTTTTACACTTTTCACTTGCAAAAATAAACTCGAATTTTAATTTTTATATACCAATTTTATCATTCTAGAAGCATAATGTCACCCATTTTCATTTTTTCAATTAATTAATTGTTTTAATCTTTTGAATAAACCATTAGCTTAAAAAAACATATTTTTATGTAATAATAATAACACATCCATATGCCAATCATGTAAAAATAATTACGCTTTCGTTTTCATATAATTTGTAATAGTAACCAATTTCATAAATAAGATACCATTACAAAAAAATTTTATGTAATAATAAATTTTAAATAATTTTTTATCATGTTTTCTATTTAAAATCCAAAATGAAAACCCTTCAAACAAACAAATCAATAAGCCGTTGACCGAATACCCATTAGCTACCAATTGGATAATAACTGTTTAGCAGGTATCGAATTTTAATATATACAGGTACGCATATGTTGGCATATGGTAACAATGTAATCGATAGATTTTATATCAACGTAAAAAACAAACGACCTGTTTCCTTATTTAATAAAATATTAAGATTGGTTTTTCTATTATTTCTCTTTTTGAGTCAACAAATGAGAACTATATTAAATAGAGAGTGAATGCAAGCATTTGTTAACTAACACGATAACTACAATACAATAACAGCCAATAAAAACATTCGACACTTACACAATTGTTTGTGGCTTTTACATGTATTTTTGAACTTTTGAATATCTTTTGAAAATCAATCAACTTTTTTTCCAAATTAAAACAATTGTTCACAAAAACTATCAATGTTGATATCAATGACAAATTGCACGTATTTCAACAAACATAACTCCTATCTTGACTCGTGTTACTATTACTGCATTTGTTATTATTATCTGTTTTATTCTTTACTTTTCTTTATGCTTTTAGCGCTCTTCTACACTCACTTCTGATTTTCTTTTTAGTTATGTACAGTTCCTAATTCCATCCAATAGATTATATTAGCAAAAAGCAAGTTTGTACGCACTCATCTAGATTTTATAGTAAAGAAAAGGTGTCCTGTATTCAATAAAAAAAAAAACATGCATAAATACCAGGTATGAATAGTTGGTTATACTGTATGTACATATTATTATATAAACAAGTAAATGTTTATCTTACTAAACCTAGTAAGTAATGTAAGAAATTTTGGTTGCTCTTGTACTTTTTCATTTAGAGTTTTGAAATTTTAAGCGATATTGTACGACGATTTCCAACTTGTACATAAATTATATGTCACACGTTGATAGGGCCACCAATGAAATGTCGGTTCATTTTTTAACTCTTCATAAATTTTTTTTTAGCTGAATCGTTTCCCAGCGACAATCTTTATTTTAGAAAGTGAGTCTCGCTTTCTCGCTTTTCATCCTTTTCTTTACTAATAGTAGTCACTAAAATTCTTAACAAATCATCCTTGAACGTAAGGTTAAACGGCTCCCCCTCTCATAGAATGTGATCATTTGATTGGACAAAATCTCATCATATAGGAAACCTTGTATGTAACAAAGTATACTTGAACCAATTATATTTATTGTTAATTAACTCCGTATTCCCACGTAATGAACCTTCTAATTTTTAGGTGAATTAATTACAAAGCGTTTCTTTCAAAATCATTACTCAGTCTGTTAACCACTACTTTGACATTTGTACACAAAAATCAATATTAGGTAAATATGTCAATCGTCGAATTTAATAGACATTAATATACTTGCAAACAGTCGATGGCATTTTTATCACTACACTTCCTGATCAAAAGTATAGGGACACTTGCAGATCATTGCAAATAATTGAATAAAGTGACATGACAAGAACTA